GTAAATAAGCTTCACCGGACTTCCGGACGTGCACACACACAGTCAAGAAGTCTTCTCTAAAAAGATAAGTCAAGCAAGGAATGATGAAAGGAGAGGTGGTCTGGGTCAGGTAGGGGAGCTGGACAGGCAGAGGAAGATGGATGTGAAATACAAGAGTACGCAGGGAGGTGCCAGGCTGGGTCCGCTCGGAAATGACATTTTGTGCTTCATACACCGCTTTTCTTCCATAGTTATTTGAGAAAATTTTGTTTCTATTCTTATGGTTCTAAAATCAGCAGGTGTTGGGGGCATGAAACAACTTTGTACACGAAAGCATATGATGAAAAAAACGCTTCTCAGCTTCTACCTTTTGTGCCCCTTTACGTGAAAAAGTTATGCTCATTATTTTAAATGTAAATAGTTTATAGATAATTATTCATAATATTCACAGTTGAAGAAAGAAGCTACTAAGGTGTCTACGGATTAAGCTTAGTTCAATTAGTAAATGTGAGAGTTTCCATGACAACTGCCATCCAAAAGAAAGTGAAAAGTGCCGAGAAACACTGCATTTTTGTTCCTACAATCATAGCCTTCTTGTCTTCAAATGAAGTTTTACTTGGAACTATACTATATAAACTAAAGGCAAAATTACTCTGCCTGTTGAACTAGTGGGAAGTCAGGGATGCCGCTTGCCTACTTCTTGTCTGCCTCAGTCATTATGGTGGCCCAGGGGCATCCTGACCTCAATCAAGCACTCCACATCCTACAACATTTAGATATTTGAAGACAGTCTTTTTTAAGAGACATTTTTTTTTCCCTTACTGGGGTTTGAACTCGAGACCGTGCACTTGCAAGGCAGGCACTGAGCTAAATCCCCGGCCCCCTCCAGGAGACTTTTTACTTTGTATCTTAGATACAGTAACCTAAACTCAGTGTTTTTCTAAATATTACTTCATTTTGTATTATATATTCATATATTTAAATTATATTAGTTATTCAATATCATTGTGATTTCTGTTCATCTTCAGACAGTAGTGGGACACTATTCAGACGAGTAGGAAGGTAAAAACCCTTTCTATTCCTTCCTACTATTTATTTTACCTGAAGCTTACTGCTTTATAGGGTCAGAAAAAGATCTTCGAAGCTCCTTGGTAAGCTTATATATATATTTTTAATTAAGTTTATTGGTACATTTTAGGGATACAGTACAGTTACATTCATCACTGGGATCTTGTTCCTTTACATGACAGATCTTGGTTCTCATTTTTCCCCATTCCTCTGCCCTCTCTTTATCCCCTCCACTCTTCCCTATTTACAAAAACTTCATTTCCATATTTTTATTTTCTTATGTTTTTTCTTTTCCCTTATTTCCTTTCCCCTACCCTACTCACTTTCCCTACACTTTCAGCCCTTTTATTCCTGTTTTACCTTGTCAATTATACCATTTGGAGCTTATTTACATTTTTAGTTTTTCAAACCAAAGAAACTATTTGGTATTTACACATGTGTGTTTTATTTATTTCACTTAAGAGTATGATATATTTAATTTCATTAATAAAATTTTAGTTAGTCTATTAGCATATTCTTTACCATAGCACAGATCTTTTCCCAATCTTCTTGCTTTTGGTGTTTGAGCATTCATATTTTGTGTATATTGTAAATTGAAACCTGCAAATTCACCTTTATAGACTGAATTTCTGCTTTGCTACAATGGAGCACAAACAATTTTAAATTATTCCATAGTGATATCAGCTTTTGGTCAACAGTTCTACCTTGGAAATGTTATGAGAATATATTTGATTATGCAATTTTAATGCTGCTTTTATTGTACTTGTATTATTTTATAAACGTGGTTGAGATGAAGCATTCTAATTGTGTTAAAATTAAACTTAGAAATTGTCTAGAAAGATTGAAATTACAGCTGTTATTATTCTGAATTGGCTGGGTCCTAACAGAAAATAATCTTTGGCACTCTAGGATCAGTTCTCATAGGAAAAACACAAATAAGTTGCACTACATGAAGGATTAAATTATAAAACATTTAATCAGAACCATGTTTTTTCTTATTATCTCAACAGAAAGGTCTATTTGACAAGTTTTGCTTCTTTGACTCCTGTGCAGTTTCTTGGTTCCAGCAGGCTGTGTACACTGCCCCTGTGCACTGAGAGTGCTTTAAGCTCTGTAACTCAGAACAAATTGCTTAACACTTCTGCCTCCTTCTCCTCATTCATGAAATAGCAAAGGTCTCAGATGAGTTGATCTCTAAACTCCCTTCTGGAACTACTGTTAGAAGATCGAGCATTTACCAGTTTGAGAGAAGACCCAATCTGGGCCTGCTTTCCATCATCATCTAAGCTTGGAAATTAACCCTCACCTCCTACCAGCTGTTGGTGACATCTCATACACCATATTTTAGTGTATTGATTTGATGATAACCTTTTCAAAGCAAGACACTGAGTGGGATGCTCTTTTATATCACAAGTCGCCTTTACTTTGATGCCTTCAAAGCCATGTATTCTCTTTAGATAAAGCATAAACTTATTTTATTGTATCTGAGAAATTCTCACATAAAAATAAAAGGATTCCAGAACAAAATCAATAGGCATCAACTTTCCTTCAACACATTGCCTTAAAATTAAATGTCAGCTGGTAATTTAGTCCCAGATCTGTTCAAGAATTTGCTGTAATGGAAAGTTAGTTCAGATAATCTTTTCCAACTAGTAAACTGATCTCATATATTACATTGAAATAGTTCAAATCTGTGCACTATTAGTAAACTGGCCAAGGAAGTTCCCAGTCTGTGTAGTATTAATTAAGATAAGCTTGAGATTTGTTGGCATAATAATGAAGTAATAGTTTGTCTAATTTAATCTTGACACAGTGATATGTGACACTTCAATAGTAGCTGATGTAACCTTAAAGGTGAATGATAGCATTGCTCATCTGGAGTGACAGACTACTTCATGTCCTCTTGCACTTGATCTTAATTCTTTCCTTTCCATTACTTTATTAGGCTTCTGGTGCAGTAATGAAGCTTCAGTGAACTGCTATCTGGAATTGTAAACTCAGGCAAATTAGTTCCAGAGTTCCCTTGATGAGACATTCCATTGTAACAATAAATGGCAGCACTGTTACGATAGGGACATAAGGTAGAAATGTTTCCACATAGGTTTTTAAAAGGCAAAAATTTCTCAGAGATCTATGGAACATTTTGAACTATAAAATGCATTTGTTTCAGGCTATTGCATTATCCCCCACACACCTCAATTTAGACAACTGTCTATGTGGCTGCTGCCTTGTAAAAAGCACAGTGTTTGGAGCTGTGAAGAAAACAGAGATGAACCAGTGTGTAGCGTATTATCCAAGCTGCAAACTGTTTATAATCTACTAAGGGAAGGATAACAGTAAATCGCTGTAATAGAATATAATAAGCACAATTGCCCTATAAAAATAATTCAGTGCTTTTGTTTTACAAAAGAATGGAAGAGAATTTTCCTAATTAGAAGCCTAAAGAAGGCTCTTCCTGGCTCATGCTTAAAAACAAGATAATTCAGAAATGTTCCAAATAGCATACTAGATGTGATCAAAACATACAGTGAACATTTAAATAAAAACTATTACCATAAAAGACACTGACATCAGTTCCTTTTTGAACATGTACCTCTTCCTTAACATTTTCTAGAGCAGTTCTGGAAGTCCTTTTTGTGTTTCTTTATGAGGTATAAACAAAAACACAGTGAATGCTCCCGTTGCATGCCATCCAATGGAAAAACAGGCTCATGAAAACATTGTGATGGCTTCGTTCTCCTTGTTCATGTGATCTAGCACTTTGCAACTTTTGGTTCTTCCCTAGTCAAACCAACCAGGACAAGTAAAGGTTTTGAAAAGGTTCAGGACAAGGAGTCAACCACAACAGCGCAACTAAAGTCATTCACAAAAGAAGACATCAAGAATTTTTTAAGAAGGGCAATGAAGATGGGATACGTATGTTTGAGGCAAGGGGAGTATTTTGAGGAGGATGAATGGCAATGTGTCTTTTACTGTAAAAAAAATTTAAACTGTCATCCTTATTTTTCTGTTGCACTTTTTATACCTTACTTCCTCTATGTCTCCCTCAACCCTTTGGATCTCGTATTACTCTACTGTATAGGAAGAGAAAGAAAGACAATGGTGCCTGTAAATATATAGATGGGTGGCATACAGTCAATAAAGGTGGAGTACCATCAGTATATAGGAGGCCTAGCTTTAAACATATGGGCAATGAGAAGATAGTATCTAAGGCAACCTGCAGAAGGAAAGCTTGGTGAGTGACTGAGAAGGTATAGCATATACGTAGACTTCTCTAATGTGTGTGTGTGATATGTGAGGATACAGGAAGAGCTAGGCTCTCTTCTGCTTTCCTTTACAAAGTCAGATTAATTTTATGCTTTATATCCTCTTTGAGTGTGTTGTTAGAATTTTGACTTCCTTTACATTTTGAGCATTTCATACAGTGCCTTCAATGTTAAAAAAAATTTTTAAAAAAGTTGTGGTTTTTCTATAAAATGGAATACTACTCAGCCATAAAGAACAAGAAATTAGAGTCATTCATAGGAAAATGGATACATATTGAGGATATACTCCTAAGTGAAATAAATAAGTCACACATGTATAAATACCGAATAGTTTCTCTGGTGTGAAATACTGGTAAATAAGATCCTAATGATTTAATTGACAGTGTAAAATAGGAAGAAAAGGGCTAAAGGTGTAGGGAAGTGGGAAGGGCAGGGGAAAGGTAATAAGGGAAAAGGAAAAAAACATGAGAAAATAAAAAGTGGAAATAAAGTGTTTGTAAATAGAGAAGGGAGGAGGGGTAAAGGGAGGGCAGGGATAAGGGGAAAAAATGAGAACCAAGACCTGTCAAGAAAAAGTGGAAATAAAGTGTTTGTAAATAGAGAAGGGAGGAGGGGTAAAGGGAGGGCAGGGATAAGGGGAAAAAATGAGAACCAAGACCTGTCATGTAGAGGTACAAGAGCCCAATGATGAATGTAACTGTACTGTATTCCTAAAATGTACCAATAAACTCAATAAGAAAAAAAATTTTATGGAGGGAATTATTTGGGATTCAAAAACTATATATTGTCAATCTCCCACTCTATCAGGTTGGTGAGTCCCCACTTTGGAAGTCAGAGCCCAAAGCTTACTCATCATTGGACTTGCTGCACGCATACACCCCACCTTCTGTACAGGCCCTGAATAACTGAAAGTGTTAAAGAGACTTGATTGCTCAGACTGAACTATCCCAAGTTGTTGCCATTTGGCCTGCTAGCCACTGTTAAATGCATTTTTGCAAAAAGCACGACTCATTTATATAACATATCAGCTCCCCCTTGTGACTATCCTGTAGGGAATTTGACAGGAAATAAAGACACCTTTTAACAATCTGATTCCATTTCTTTTGTAGGGTGATTAGGAAAAATTGATTCTCAAGGATAATCACAGTCATGCACAGAAAACCCAAGCCCATGAAATTAGTGAGACCGGGACTCTTTATGCTCTGATTGTAATGACACATCATTACTACTTGATTCATTTATAAAGGCCCCACACACCTCCAGGAAGACCGAATGCTCCTCCAAACTGCAGAAACAAGTGAACAATGCAGGTCAGTTTATGGAACACGAGCTCAAATAAATATTAACTCAAGAATGTTAGGAATTGCCAGATATTTTCCAATGCCATTATCTTCCATAGGTCTTCATGAACCTACCAAAGGAACTTACTCTAAATACTGAAAATAAAATTACAGTAATAGAGATCCATTTCCAATTCTCAGGTCTGTTTTTATTTCCTCGCCAGGGGACTACATCATTGAAGTCATCTGTGTTATCTTAATACATTCATCCACTTTACTTGTGAAGTAGCACTGGCTAACCTTTTCAGTCTGTGAATTGTTTTCTGATGCCAATCTCATGAGACTCTCACTGCATTTCCCCTGAGGCAGAAGCAGTTGTTCTTCTTCAGCACAGGCAGAGGTCATGGCGGTAGGCACCTCAGAGAAGTTTGTTCTCAACATTGAAATGGTAAGAATGAACTCGAGTCCTAGCAGTAAGCCCAGGTTTTCTGACACTAGAGCCAACTTTCCTTGTGTGCACAAATGTTTCGTGAAGGATTGAAGGGACCACCTGTTAACCATTTGTGTCAGAGCCTTAGAGAATCAGAATCTGGGGCCACCTATGTCTCAATTCTTCTACTTTCCACATTTATTTCTTTTATGATCCACATCTTTATCTCTGTTATTTTGTTTGTGAAAGAATCCTTAAATGTAATGGCATCATTAAAAATTCATACACAGAGCTACATAATAAATATTTACTGAACTCCTACTATGTACCATACACTGAACCCATGATGCAGAGAGAAAGAGAGAGAGATGAGTAAGACGAAGCAGTTGACATCCCAGCTTGGGTTGTCACTAGGAAGTCAGCTGTCAGACTGATTAGAGCTAAGGCAGGACTTGGACCTGCAGGAGACATTCTGAGATTAATGATTCAATTCTCTTCAGAACAGATCATCTCTTGAAAGAGAGTAGAAGGAATAAAAGGAAACAACTGGTATTCATAAGCCAGTCACAAGTTCAAGGCAGAAGACTTTAGGTAGTTGTGTTATGGCAGTTAGAATAGCTCATGCTGAAAGATGACAAGCCACAGATTTCACCCAAGCTATGTCCCTGTGTATCCAACTAGCCCATCCCCTGACTCAGTCCCCCCACTGACTCCCTTTAAAAGAACTCACCCTGTGAGCAGGTGAGGGAATTTGTAACAGAGAACGATCAAAAGCAAAATGGGTTATCCAGGGAACGCAATTACACAGGGAGATCATTAATTGGAAGGCTTATCTCTTCAATGCACTCAGAATGTGTAAACTGCAGTGTTGTGAATTGAATTTCACGCATTCCTATTGTTTGAGAGGAGCTGGCTGTGTGTGGGAGGTGCTGAGTGATTTGCCAGAATGTTGTAAGAACACCAGCAATCAGAAAGCCACTGGGCTCTGAAAAGCCGGGAATTGAGTGAAGGTGTAAAAACCTGAAGGCTAAAGGGAATTGGGACTTTTCACTGAGATGGAGCTTGAAACCGAGGAAGCACAGGCAGTAATGAAGAGGAGGGAAGCCAATGGCAGGGCAGAGGGGATTGGAAAAGGACTTGTTAAGATCCCATTTCATCAATCAAATTTGGATAGCCTGCTGGGACAAAGTCTACCTGGGCTTTGGGTAACAGACTGCTTGATGTTCTGACAATTTAGAAAAAAAAAAGAGTTCAGAATCGAGCACGTATGTTGCGAGGAAGTAAAAAGTCGCTTTAAACCACTCACTTATTTACACAGGACACAAGAAGCAGGAGGAAGTGGAAGAGCTGGTTCCTTCGTATCCTCCGCCCCTCCTCTGACCTTGCACCTCTCTGCCTAAGAGCCCGTGCATTCTGCTGACAAGCCTCTAACCCCATGGCCTGGGCCCGGAATGCTTCCTATACTTTTAGTTCTATACTTTTACTTCATCCTGGTGATCCAACTTTCAGTCCTACTTTCGATATTAATCCCTCCTTCAAATGAGTTTGGCTTAAGAATAGTTTCTGGCTGCTGTGTCAGGGCAGTTTCTACCTTACACTGCAACAGCAGTTTAACATCGTGCTTTTCTACCCTTCCTGCAACTTCTTTGTTCCTTGGGCTGTGAGTTCTACCTTGTCCTTTAGGACTTACCGCAATATGCCCATTCCTTAGGGTAACCTTTTCTGATCCTCAAGCTAAACAGTAGTGAGATGGTTTTTGGAGACCTGTCTTTCTCACTGAACTGTAATCTACCTGCTTTGGTTTTCATGGTGTTCTTACTGTCTAGTAGTCTAACAACTCTATATTGTCTTTGTTCTTTCTTCTGAGTAGTTGATTGTGGAACCCTTGACATGGCTTTGTCTTAGATTTGCTTTGTTCCCTCAGAGCTTAGGAAAATACCTCGTGCACGAGAGAGCTCTTAACTGTGTATTAGATGAATAAATGCTACAAGAAAATAGCAGAGCAGGTCTCTTGGGCTAGGCACTACCAAGACTTGGAGCCAGATGGTTTTTCTGTTGGTCCTGTCCACTGCACTCCAAGATGTTTACTAGCAGGCCTGGCCTCCCCCAGAGGATGCAGGGGACATTCCCACAGCTGTGAGACCGGAAATGTGTCCAGATATCATGGAAACTCTCTACTGAGGATGGGACAGCGGGAGCATCTGTGTGCAAAGTCACACCAGGCAACGAATCACTGAACTAGAGTAAGTATGTTCAAGTCATCCAAGCTGATAAGTTTTTAGTTTCTGCAGAAAAGTGATAGATAACAATTATAATAAAGTAGCTACTTATAATTCCTTAAATATTAATTACTTTGATGCAGGGTATAACCCGAAGTCCTTGGGAAACCAACTTTATGTAGGCAGACAAAGGCCTTTGGGCATTTTCAGAGAACATTCTTGTTCTCGTTTTACTGGGCACAGGAGTATCCTAGTTTATTGCCTAGTTCACACTTAAGTGTTCTTTCTCATTCTCTGATCTAATCAAAGCTTTTGGTGTCAGATTATCACAGCTAGCAATGAAAAAGTAGGAAAAAGATTGGTCAAACGAAATCTAATGAGCACACACATGCATGCGTATATTTAATTAATTTTTTTTTCTCTTGAAGGCAAAACTTTTTGACAGCTGATTGACTGAGTTCTTTGTTAGGGGTCTGCTGTGTTGACACAGAGGGTTGGTTAAGTTTCTTTCCTGCTGGGGAACACTAAATTACATCCCACCAACCTAAGGTCCCCTGGAGTGAACCACACAGCAGTAGAGTTTAGAGACTACAGAAGGTGAAGGCTGGGGTCTTTGAGGTCAGATTTTCTCCATGAAGCAGGACAAACAAAAATTTATAATGCTGAAGTCTTGGTATAATTTTTAAAAGCAGAAGGCCATTGGTTTCCTTCCTGCTACCTCCCCCATTCTTTCTTTGAAGAAAAAGTATAGGAATTATTCCCAGAGGCTACTGGCAGACAGACAGTTTCTAGGTAAGCAGGGTTTCTTTTTTTTTTTTTTTTTTTTTTCC